GGAGCCCACTGCGTGTTGTAGTGGCCAGCGACGGTCTTGCAATTGTGCAAGTCTCTGTGGCGCAATCGGCCAGCGCGCTCGGCTGTTAACCGAGAGGTTGGTGGTTCGAGCCCACCCAGGGACAATCTGCGCTTATTGCTGGGGGCTTAAAGCTCAGCTTGACTGCCTGTGCCCCAATAGAAGTAACCCCGTCTGAAGCATGGGGCTTTTACCTCACCGAACAGCACTTTTCACAGTAAGCAAATCCAAATTGCCCCCTTAGCTCTATGGCCATGTATGCATGACCTGCTGTCCCTCTGCTGCTCCCTGAGACCTTTAAGGTGTGTGTCTTTGCCCTCCTATGCCAACCTAGCATTTAGCACAAGGTCTTGTCACATGGCACTTTGCTTTCATTATCTTGGACTTGACCCCAAGAAAGCTGTAAGGTAGCACATTTGATCAAGTGAGACCCATATGTGTCACACTGTCTGAACCAAGCACAGTGTGGTGCCGTGGCTTAGTTGGTCAAAGTGCCTGTCTAGTAAACAGGAGATCCTGGGTTCAAATCCCAGCGGTGCCTTCTTTGCATGTCTTTGTCAGGGAGACAATTTGTACACCTGGGGAGAACCAGAACAATGACAGCACAGCTCTGGGTCAAAAGAGTTCTACTTGGTTTATGCCCCTCATGACTTTTGCTGGACTTGATGGCATTATGGGGCCTTGTTTGCCCCAAAAGCATTGCAGAAAGAGGCTCTGTGGCTTAGCTGGTCAAAGCGCCTGTCTTGTAAACAGGAGATCCTGGGTTCAACTCCCAGCAGGGCCTTCACACATAAGCTTAGCCATCAATGTTAATCCTCATCCAAGCTCATGAGGCAGTCTGTTTAACTCCCTTCCCTGACCAGTTTCTCTCTGCCAGGCCGCACTGGACAGGGATTTCCTAGTTTTCTTTCCCATCGGGCACCTTTATGTCAGACACCAGGGACCCTTTACAGGGTGACAACCACAAACAGCACTATGATCACAGCACACTGCTTCAAAGGATTTAGTTGCTAGAGGTAGCTGTGAGGGACACCTCCTGGACTCTGGATAAGTGCAGTTGGAGCAGACCAGCTGATTTGCATTGTCAATTGAACCCTTATGTGTCAAATAACTGCGACCTGACGAGGAGCCCACTGCGTGTTGTAGTGGCCAGCGACGGTCTTGCAATTGTGCAAGTCTCTGTGGCGCAATCGGCCAGCGCGCTCGGCTGTTAACCGAGAGGTTGGTGGTTCGAGCCCACCCAGGGACGATCTGCGCTTATTGCTGGGGGCTTAAAGCTCAGCTTGACTGCCTGTGCCCCAATAGAAGTAACCCCGTCTGAAGCATGGGGCTTTTACCTCACCGAACAGCACTTTTCACAATAAGCAAATCCAAATTGCCCCCTTAGCTCTATGGCCATGTATGCATGACCTGCTGTCCCTCTGCTGCTCCCTGAGACCTTTAAGGTGTGTGTCTTTGCCCTCCTATGCCAACCTAGCATTTAGCACAAGGTCTTGTCACATGGCACTTTGCTTTCATTATCTTGGACTTGACCTCAAGAAAGTTGTGAGGTAGCACATTTGATCAAGTGAGACCCATATGTGTCACACTGTCTGAACCAAGCACAGTGTGGTGCCGTGGCTTAGTTGGTCAAAGTGCCTGTCTAGTAAACAGGAGATCCTGGGTTCAAATCCCAGCGGTGCCTTCTTTGCATGTCTTTGTCAGGGAGACAATTTGTACACCTGGGGAGAATCAGAACAATGACAGCACAGCTCTGGGTCAAAAGAGTTCTACTTGGTTTATGCCCCTCATGACTTTTGCTGGACTTGATGGCATTATGGGGCCTTGTTTGCCCCAAAAGCATTGCAGAAAGAGGCTCTGTGGCTTAGCTGGTCAAAGCGCCTGTCTTGTAAACAGGAGATCCTGGGTTCAACTCCCAGCAGGGCCTTCACACATAGGCTTAGCCATCAATGTTAATCCTCATCCAAGCTCATGAGGCAGTCTGTTCAACTCCCTTCCCTGACCAGTTTCTCTCTGCCAGGCCGCACTGGACAGGGATTTCCTAGTTTTCTTTCCCATCGGGCACCTTTATGTCAGACACCAGGGACCCTTTACAGGGTGACAACCACAAACAGCACTATGATCACAGCACACTGCTTCAAAGGATTTAGTTGCTAGAGGTATCTGTGAGGGACACCTCCTGGACTCTGGATAAGTGCAGTTGGAGCAGACCAGCTGATTTGCATTGTCAATTGAACCCTTATGTGTCAAATAACTGCGACCTGACGAGGAGCCCACTGCGTGTTGTAGTGGCCAGCGACGATCTTGCAATTGTGCAAGTCTCTGTGGCGCAATCGGCCAGCGCGCTCGGCTGTTAACCGAGAGGTTGGTGGTTCGAGCCCACCCAGGGACGATCTGCGCTTATTACTGGGGGCTTAAAGCTCAGCTTGACTGCCTGTGCCCCGATAGAAGTAACCCCCATCTGAAGCATGGGGCTTTTACCTCACCGAACAGCACTTTTCACAGTAAGCAAATCCAAATTGCCCCCTTAGCTCTATGGCCATGTATGCATGACCTGCTGTCCCTCTGCTGCTCCCTGAGACCTTTAAGGTGTGTGTCTTTGCCCTCCTATGCCAACCTAGCATTTAGCACAAGGTCTTGTCACATGGCACTTTGCTTTCATTATCTTGGACTTGACCCCAAGAAAGTTGTGAGGTAGCACATTTGATCAAGTGAGACCCATATGTGTCACACTGTCTGAACCAAGCACAGTGTGGTGCCGTGGCTTAGTTGGTCAAAGTGCCTGTCTAGTAAACAGGAGATCCTGGGTTCAAATCCCAGCGGTGCCTTCTTTGCATGTCTTTGTCAGGGAGACAATTTATACACCTGGGGAGAACCAGAACAATGACAGCACAGCTCTGGGTCAAAAGAGTTCTACTTGGTTTATGCCCCTCATGACTTTTGCTGGACTTGATGGCATTATGGGGCCTTGTTTGCCCCAAAAGCATTGCAGAAAGAGGCTCTGTGGCTTAGCTGGTCAAAGCGCCTGTCTTGTAAACAGGAGATCCTGGGTTCAACTCTCAGCAGGGCCTTCACACATAAGCTTAGCCATCAATGTTAATCCTCATCCTCATCCTCAGCTTTGCAGCCACATTTAAGGAGTTCTCTGCAAACTTTGGCAGCCTCTGGCAATCGTGTCCATAGCGGTCTCCACAAATCATTGACTTTGGTCCATCCAAATTTGTCAGGAGATGGTACAGACTGGATAGCTTTTAAGCTGTTGAACCAAATCCTAGACTGATAAACTGCTCGATGTGCATGCTGTAGCAATGCAGACTGTGTCGGAGGAATGTTTTCCATTCACAGAGATTTTTTAGCAAACAGGTCCTTCCTTAGGTCATTGACATTTTCAATGTCAGTTGTCCTGTCGCACAGAACACAGGTATATCTTTCCAGTAATGCAAATGTCTTTGATTCCACTAGTCACCTGCTATGTCTCGGCTTAAAAATAAGTTGTGCCTATACAGTATATGAGTGCTGGATCTATGGTCATATAAAGTTGTCACAATATATTACCTATATATAATCATTCATAGGGCCGACTAGAAGTTTTTTGAAAACAATTTTGTATCTGGCATCAACAATATATCACTCACAGAAGGATTAATGTGTGAAGTCATGTCTTTCAGAGTACATTTTAAGCCAATTTATTCTCGTTTAAAGGTCTTTAAAACATATTTTACACATTTTTCTTGGGTGACTTTGGCCAAATCCTTTATTATTGGTCTTTTTACTATAAATGAAAATCTATAATTATCAGATTAAGCCAAAATTTCAGAATTAGACCACATCTTAGGAATTATGGTTCATTTTGGATTTTCCCCTTTAAAAGGCATTTAATGGGTCCGAATTTTTGGGCACCCCTTCTGAGATGATGAGATACACCCTAAAGAATGTGTGTACCAAATTTGGTGCTTTTATCCACCGCATAACGATTTGGCCATTTTTTCAAGTTAACAGACCCTACTAAAAGTACTTTTAGCATGGTGATCAAGCTTTGTGCAGCTTTTCGATATTGTTAGTTTGTTTCCAAATAGGAAAGAATGTATGAACTACAAAGAGTTTAATAGCGTCTGTGTAAGGAACGATGGTCCCCCAGTCGTCTAGGTCTTCTGGCTTTCAGTACATGAAAATCTTTGAGAAAGAGCATATCAGGAGAGCTACAGTAATTAGCAACCATTCCAAAATATACTAGAAGTTGGGCAAGAGGGAGCAAAGGAGCCATGTAAGGACTGTAAAATAATTTCTCTTGAGTAGTGAATAATGGTGCTCTGTTGCCCTGAGTCGCAATTTCTTGATGCACTTTGGAACAGAGGCAAATCGGTTAAGCTACACGAATGAGCTGGCACTTCATCTACCATATTACTGTGTCAAGGAAATTGACCAAGAATGAATCATAAAATCTGGATTCCCACAAGCAAGTATTGGATGATACCGTACTCAAGAGAAATTATTTTACAGTCCATACATGGCTCCTTTTTACTATTTACTGACCACACTGTCTCTTTTTTTTGCCTCTTTCTTCAACACCTGAGCTGCTGAATTTGACTCCGGATGAAGACAGTAGGAACAAGTTCCAGACAGGTAAACAAAGTAATGTGCAAAGGATTTCGGAGTTTTCCAACTCTAGATCAATCTAGATTGTAATGCAAGTCCCCAGACAATTTTTTGGGAAGACTCTGCCTCTTTTCTCATTTACATTTTAGTTCAGGCTTGTCTTGGATACAAATGAAGAGGATCTCTGCAGATATATTAACTATTACCATGATAAATGTGTTATATTTTAATCTAAACAAGATGCTGACCTCCATGACATGGTCAAACATATTTTTCCCTAGTTTGTTTTGCATATTGTTTAACTTGCCAAACTGCAAAGCCAAACAAAAACCTCATTTATATAGTGCTGCCACCTGCTGGTCAAAAATTAACATAACAAGGAGAAATCTTTGTGAAAGCCTTTTATTACAGATAGTTTATAAAAGTTTAACACATAAACCAGTACTTTCTAAAACAGAGAGTGAAGGAAACACTTTGGAAGAAATTTTCTTGTCTTTTTTTAACAGATGTTTATGAGAAATATTTACATCAGAGTAGAAAGAAGAGCAGGCGAAGGTGCAGAAAGCAACAGAAAAACAGGACTCAGACAGTGAGGTAGGACAGGATGATGACAAATCTACAGAAAGGTTTCTACGAGGAAAAGTTGCCGGTGTTATGTACAGTTTATATGGTCTGCAGGTTTACACCGAGTCGGTCCTCTTGTACGCCACCATGCTGTTCACCTTGTGGATGGAGGTAGTGAAGGAGCGGAGACGCACCTCCTCCGATTGGTCAATGATCTGCGGCCCAGACTCCTCCCACTTTTCGGGAACCTCCAGGTCTTTGTCTGTGTAGACGAGGAGGTCGAAAGCACCTGGAGAAGAGGGGACAAAAGGGTTAATAATCAAACGATGATGGGTGGAGTAAGGCGTGGATGTTTGGTTCCTTACATGGCGTCTCCAGCAGTGGCAGGAAGGTGACGGTGGCGGTGATCTGTCTGATGACAGAGCGGATCTCTTCCTGAATAGTTTTTATGGACTTCTCTCTGGGAGCACTGGGGAGCAAAACATGATAGAATTATAAATAAAAAATGCAGAATAAGTATCATCTTGAATGGTCTTCGTTTAAAGATGCTATGAGAAAAAAAAGGATTTGTAGACAGCGATGTATCTGACCTGCTCTCCTTGGCTGACTTGTCACACTCAATGTCAAACTGCCATCTCTCCAGAACCTCGTTGGTCTCCAGACACGTGATCACCAACACCAGCTTCTGCACAGTGCACTCAAACAGCCACTCTGCAACAACACAGTCACATAAACAGGCTTTTATTTTGGAGGGTCAAAACACTGAAAGTCTTTGCTGCTTTTGTCTGGAGCTGGTTTGATTAAAAATAATAATAATAAAAAATAAAAGCTACATTCAGACCTCAGATTGGCATTTACATTTGTTATGGGGAGATTTTATCCTCTTTCACACACAGACCACTTACTTTATCACACAATTTTATAGAGGTTTAATAAGCAATGATCCCTGTTTTGAAGCATAAACCACAAAATCCAAGCCAGAAAAGACCTGGGATGAATCCAGCTTTAAATTTTAGGGTATGATAATATCAGATTTTAGATATCTACAAATGTAAAGTATGAAGAATTTTCTCTTCCTCTTGACGTACGCATCTGCTGAGACTAAGAACAGGTTTATCATGATGATGTACTGTATAAGAAGAGTGAGGGAGATAAAATGTAGCATGTATGTGCTAAAAGCATGAAATAATACAGGCTTCAGGCTTGTAACAGTCAGACTCTATGAAGCCTGTCTCTGAGATACATATACAGCTTTAGTGTGAGTCTAAGCGCAAGGTTAAGAGGTCTTTGTAGAGGTTGTTGGGGGTTTATTAATCCATTGATATTTCTTTGTTGACTATTTCCAAGAAAAACACAAAAGTAAAGCAAACAAGCTGTGAAAACCCAGTAGGTTTACCTTTGAGCTGAGACACCACGTTGGTCAGGTAGTTCTTCAGTTTGGGGTCTGTGGTGAGCTGAAGGCTCATATCATAGTGAGTGACTCTGGTGAATGTTTCTGGAGGATAGATTCCTCGCTGGTACAGGATGCTATTGATGCCAAATGCTGTAATGAAGGCAGAAAAAAAAAACATTTGATAAGCACTTTTTACAATTACAAATTATTATATGCACTGATGTAAAACACTGTAAAAGATTATAAAGCTCTAAATTCCTGAAATAAAATTAAATTCAAAAATAGAGTTGATTGATTACAGCCACACTGATAAAAGGATGAACTTTTCTGAAACATGTTATAGATTCAGCTATATCTGCTCTCCAGGTTGGTTTTAAAATACATTAAACTACGTGGGTTGGAGAACCTCGAAATGTACAGTCGGCCATGTTTCTAAGCAAAAGTTAAAACTGAGACGGTGACTAAAATCTAAAATGAAACTTTATAGTCTATTAGTTGATTCGGCATGTATATTTTAGTACCAAATGTCAATGTATGGTGAAAATTTAGCTTTACAGAAAAGTAGCCCCGGTGTTTTCCTCCATATGTAAGTCTTAAGTGGGCAGTGTACTATCGTGGACATGTTAACTGCTTCAAAGTTGGAGTTTCACCAAAAATCGGTAACATTTGTTTTAAAATTAAGAGAGGTGGGTTAAATCTTTAGGCTGGAAAGTTTATTTATTTATTTTATCTCTTTCTGTTTTTACCATAATACCTCCTTTTATTGTCAGGCCCTGTAGCACATTAGTCCTGCATGTCTGCGGTTAGAGCTAAAACCAGCTGCTAAAAACACAAAATAATAAAAAAAACTTACAGAAGAACTCGGCCACTAGCTCTGCGCTTCCTTTCAGAGTGATTCCTTTCAGTGTGCTCGTCATCTTCGTTGAAATTTGGTTAAATCCTCAAGAATAAACCTTTGTTGTCGTTTTTTTCTCTGTCCCCCAGATAACCGCCGTCCAGTTTGAATTTTGTCGACTCAACGTGGCTGCGCATGCGTGGAAAAAACCCCGTCGCGTTTCTAGTGACGTCTGACACTACGCTTACAAAGTGTAAACACTAGATGGCAGTGCGCTGTAACTAAACTGTAATAGTTTTCCAAACAAAGCAAACGAACTAGGAATCTTATTAAAAAGTGGTCTGTTTTTTGAAAAAAAAAAAAAAAAATGGGGATAGTTCATAAACTTCATAAAACTGTGATGTTTATTATCATGGAAAGTGTAATTAAAAATTTGAACACATTCAAAAAGTTGTGAAAGGGGCAAAATAAATAAACACAATTCTTGAAAGGCTTTAAAAAACAGAGCATGCTAGATTTTCTGTGTAAAGATGGAAGGAGACCCACCTCTGTGTGAAGACTGCTCTGATAATAAGACAACAGTTTAAAACTCATGTAAGGAACATTCCTAAAACTTTGGCAGCTTCAGTGGCTAAGGCGTTGCATCTTGACACATGCCATCCTGTTTTTGTGTTTTCTGAAGAATAGAGAAAGCAGGTGCACATGTTTTTCCCCACATTCATCCCTGGACATATAGTGCAAGAATAACACCAAAGAAGTACATCATCAATAGAAAAGGATCCGTGCCATGACTGACACTCTTGTCACACCTGAGTTACCAGCGTAGCTATCAGTTACCAAGTAGAAAAAAAGCAAAATCGGAGGCAGAAACAAGATGGCTACATTAAAAAAATTATTTTAGCATCCCCTGTTGTAGATGTAGTCATCTTGTTTCCTCCTCTGATTTTACTTTTTTTCCGACTTGGTAACTGATACGCTGCTAACTCAGGTGTGACGTCATTCCCAGCTCGGACATCTGACTTCCAAGGTAACTCGAACGCAGCATAAGACCTGACAGAAAAGCTAAATCAGCATGAATAATGAAAAAATTGCTAAAGTTGGGTCTAACAGGTGACATGGGGCTTCGGTTTAAGATAAATAAACCCCATGACAGACCATCACCATCCCACCCCCCTTAAAAAAAAGAAAAAGAAAGAAACAGAGCGTTCATAGTTTACTTGCTCAATTATTTTGCTGTTAATTCTGTGAAAATTGAAAGTCATAGGATGATTTTTCTTACCAAAAATTGTCACTGGAATTGAATCATGCTTCCAGATTTGGACTGAAGTGTAATAAAATGAGGCGAACTAAGCGCCTGCTAAGGGCCCCGTGGTCAGCAGGGGGCCCCCAAAAGCAATCAAAAAAATGTATATGTATATTTTTAAAATATATATATATATATATTTGCATGTATGAGTGATGCTTTCTGTATGATCAAATATATATTATTGTAATAAAACAAAATAAAGTAAAAACATAGTGCTGCTGGCCTATGATTCTTACTGCCGATATGTCAAAGCTCCGCCACTGTTATGTGCCTCCTGCTGTGCAATGTGCACTGATTATCCAAAGCGCAGGTAGGTCTGGGGCAAAACAATGTCGCAAAAAAGGACATATCCTTCAGGAGCAGAGAAGGATAGAGAAAGAAGAGAAAAAACGCCAAGATAAAGGTATCTTTGCATGTCATGGAATGTTAATCAAAGGGATTTGTGAAGGTGTGTGAATGATCAACAATCAATATTATTGGCAGAAACAGAGGGCCCAAAAATCAAAATTTGCTTAGGGCCCCATTGAGGCTTGGGCCGGCTCTGATTGGCGCCTGCACAGTTGTAAGTTGAACCATACCTGGATCTCAGATGTTAAAAGGAATTAAGCAATCCTACAAGTGTAAGTCGCTCTTGATTGTGTCCTTTTCTCAATTAGATATTAAAACTGCAGCTCTTAACTGAGCATGCACCAGGGTGCTCATTGCTCATGCGCAAATCAATGTGATAGAAATAGCCAGACTGATTTGTTACTTTGAAATTCATGACGAAACTTAGACTTTAAGTTTGTAAAAACTACACAAAGGACAGATTTCATGCTGATGTTATATACAAGATTGGTAATATCAGCTAAGATCCAAGAGGTAAACATTTTTCTGAGAATACATCAACCATAGTCTTGCTGCGCATGTACAGAGCTTCATCATTAAACAGTGAAAATCTGATGATTATTTACTGCTACATACATGATGTGTCATGTTGGCCGAGTTTCGTTTTCTTTCTGTATATTCATGTTGGTTAAGTTTTCTTTATTTTTTCATTTTTTGTCATGTTTTTCCTGTTTTATTTTGTTGATCACAAACCCCTGATTTGTCTTCTAGCTTTGTTCCTGTCTGGTCTGCCCTGCCCCTGTCTTGTCACACCTGCAGCCTGATTGTGTCTCCCCACCAGTTTCCTATCACCCTCATTTGGGGGCGTAAGAGATAAGAGAGTGAGTTTACAAACCACTTGTTGATTGGGTAAAAAGGTTGAATTTAGGTGTTTAATAGAACAAACTTTTCAGGTTGCTTAACTTTCAGGTTTCATTACAAGTTAAAACTAATCTTAAAAGCCTTAAATGACGACAAATCTTAAATCTAAATGCAAATTTAAGTTTATTACCTCTAATTTCAACATCGAATACTGAATGTAAACTTTCAAATTTTTTCATATCTGATCCTTTGTCTTTTTTCTTTTACATCCTTTAATGTTAAGTGCTTTAAATTCAAAATGAAATAAAATAATAAATGACCAACCACACAAACAAAGACTTGAAACTGAGACCATGAACTCATCAGGAAATGTGTACTGGAGGAATAAATTAACTTAGCAGGAGGCTGGTTTCTCTCACACTTCTATGTAAAAGCCTCACGAAAAGCACTTACATGTGGTTTCATTTATTTGATCCAAAGATCGTGACAGCAACCAAGAAACCCATATATATGAAACCCTTTTACTGAAGGAGTGTCAATAATGAAATCAAGTAATGTGAAATAACTGAGTTAAATCATTATGATTCACAGAGGCAGAAAACAACAGAGACAATCTTCTAATAACTGCCTCAAATCTTCTGCAGAGGATGAACATTTGGGGAGTTATTGGAGTTGAAAGTTGGAAGACCAGCTCTCAACTTAAACGTCATGATCTTGTTTACTTGAAGGATAATATTTCACACTTAATCCTTTGTGAACGCTCACGATTGTCCATCTGCTTTCAATTACACTCGACAAAACTGCCAATAAATCCAACAATGTGCAAACAGAAATCATGCAAACTATAATCCCTTTACTAGTGTTGGTTAGTGTGCGGTCGATTTAAAGCTTTAGAGCCAAATGTTGCAACTCTGACTCCCACCGGGTGTCACTGAAACAAGCCTCGGCTGGTCCAAACCAACAGCTCGATGGTTTTATGAGTACGGGCCTCATCACCACAGTCATGTCTCCAAACAGAGACTGTGGGCACTGGCTTCAGGCCCACTCAAAGAAAAGATTTCTATCTGTCTGGCATCAGGGAAACATAGGTCCTGTTGCTCCTGGAGGATTTGTTGAGCTTGTTTTTATTCAGGGAACAAACCACAAGAGTAAATACTTTATAGCTGGGTTTGAGGTTTCAGAGACAGAGGGACAGATAACAGCCTGCCATTAAAACTAAACAAGGCTCCTCCTCTAATCTCTGACCACAGCTTTATAAATATACTCCTACTGCGACTTCAAATCAGCTAAAAGACTCTATTGCTTTAGTCTCCCTGGCAAAGACTGTGCCAGTGAAGGGGAGACTCTCGGGGGACTCGGCACCAACTGACCATGTCTGCACCGTGACTGAAATGGTGCAATCTGTAACTGGAGCGGCACCAAAACAGTCCATAAAACAATTCACTGGGACACCTCCGGATCTTAGAGCTGGATGAAGAAACAACTCTACTGACTGACTTGGCCTGTTTTCATGGTTACATGCTCCAGGATATCAAAATATCGACCACACATGCAGCTAAAGTGGACGCTGAACACTCAGATCTGATTTGGAGACTCAGTTTGTCTCAAAGAGCGATGGGCCCGAAAGGCTCTGAGGGAATGCTGATTTCTCAATGTTAGTGAGTAATGTCAAGATAGTTTCATCACATGGTTGGGAATAGACTCCACTAGTTTAGGACTGAATTTATACAGATTATCAGGCCCCAGAGGAGCCTCTGGTTTCAGCACAAAGAAGGCGAGGGTCTTAGGAAAAGTGGTTGGACACCATCCCCCCATGGTGCTCTACTACCCAGATGTAAACAGTAGGAATGGACATTATTAATCGATGATTGGTTAATTGATCGTTAAGAATTACATCGATCACACAAAGTTCCAATCGATCTAAAGTTATTTAAAAAGGGCTGAGAGCTTGAGTCCATCCTTAAGCTGCTTTCCAGCAAAGATAAACCCCTGCTTATCGGGAAGGATACCCTCTCTGTTCAGTCGGTTAATGTGTGTGCTGTGTACAAGTACACAGTACACAAGTAAAGACCCGAAACGCCCGATGAACTCAGGAACATCACTGATGATGTGTCCCAGTTGCATCTCATGATGTATCTTTCAATCAACACGAAAATGACCCTCATGATGTATCACTTGAACCACCATCAGCTCCTGCTAGCAAGGAGGAACTGTAGGGTGACCAGACGTCCTAATTATCGGGGACAGTCCCCGTTTTGGATGACTTGTCCCCAGCCAAAGTTTTCTCCAGAAATGTCCCTGATTAGCGTTTCATGAATGAAAAAAAAACAACGGTCATTACGGTAGCTGGACAGGAAGGAAGTGCAAGTGAGCATGTAGCGCATAGTCCTAAACAACAGTTTTGGGGAGGATATTTCACTGAGGAAAAACATGTTTTTTGCATATTTTGGATTAAATCATTGATTGACATCAATTTATGTGATTAATCGATTAAGGGACTTTCTTAAAATGCCCATTTCTAGTAAACGGGCATAGATGGTGTATGATAGTGTGGCAAAGTTTGTCAGTATCTTGATCCAGAAAATGGAGATGAAGTAGCATTTCGGCACTAGTCCCTAGAAACAAGTAACCAGCACAGACAGGTGGATGTAAGCCTGCAAGAAGCACCAAATGCTGGTGGTACTAGCTCTGCTTAACTT